AGGTAAGACAAAATTAAATAAATACGTGCACTCTAGTGATAGCAGCGCAAGAAAAGCCGCAAAATTACTGTTAGTTGATAAGGGAAAAGGAAGAGATGCTTATGTTAACAATAGCAGATGTGACGCACCGCTCTCGGGTAGACCTCTCTCTCCCTCTCTTTTATATAGAACGGTTTCGAAATGCTGCGCTGACTCACTCAAAGCTTTGCTGGTAACAATAGGACTACTAGAATATCCCCTTCATTGAGCAAATAAGCGCTACATCAACAACATCGTGTCAGTTTCTGAAAAATGATCTGATTTCCCGTCAACAGCTCCTCCACGCTTGTTATGGATTATAACAACAGGTGTAGAGGCATATCGACGTTGAGGCGAGCGGCTGTTGGGTGAAATCGAGGGTTAACGCTGGCATTGACCGGCTGAAAAGCAAGCGGGCGGGTTCACGGAGCGATTGCTTTTACATTTGCTATCTCTCATCCTTCGTTGAATTGTCCTGTCAGTGAACGAAAACGTGGTAATCCGCTTAACATCCGATAATAACTACGATCCTAGCAACATCCCTTTGTAACAACATATGCACCTTCTTCAACTGCTTGTTATCACCAAAAATAGGAAATCATACGAATAATCTGCTTGTCACAGCATCTAAACGCTATATCGTATACCGAACAAGTATTCCTATTTAGCAATAAATTAGTTGGAACTAATGTTATCAACGCAGGTTTCGAAGGCAAATAATCAAAACTAGTAACAAACAGATTTTTCAATTCCGCCAGCAGCTGTCCATTCCATCTTTTGTTTGACATTTTTTTGAGGGATCTAACTCTAGTAAGATCGCGATAGAATCAACGACTAATTTGTAATTCAGCAAAAAAAAAACATGGTCTTCGCTCAAACAATCACTTTTTCAAAGCACAAAATTGCTCCACATATATGGAACAATGACCATATGAATAAGCTTGGATAAAAGCATGCAGCAGCTAAAACAGTTGGAAAAGACCGACCTTGACATAAGCACTTTGTTTGCATGGGTCTCGCTCAGAAAGTCGGCCTGTGAAACGGAGCAACGTTTGTGCTCATTTTTTGTCGCAAAAACATCGTTTTCCCCGACCCAAATCCGGAATAAAACTGGAATGAATTTCAGCTAACTCTGATGAAACTGGTAAAGTTCAACATCTGTACTTTCTCGCTTACCATGAGACTTGTTTTGTAGAGTCCTGCAAGAGGCGGGATACGTTCGACGTTATGACACGTTCTGCCCAACAAATGTTTTTCCCGTTGTCGACCACTTCGCAAGTTCACACTGCCAGACAAAAGGCATCCACGATTTCTATCCTGATCGTTGACAAATGTATTGATTGATGTCTATGATCGTTAAACGAGAAAATAACTCTTTTTTTCATATTTGATGACGTACGTCCTCTCATAAATTTGCTTCTCCGCAGAAGCTATTCGTGTCGCCGCTCACGTACTGTTCGAATCGATCATACGTGACAACGTCGCCGTCGTTTCAGTCAGAATGCACCTCATAGCCAATGCCGGTCGTTTCCTGTCTAGCGGTCACAGACTACTGATGTGCGGCCACGGAACGCTGGTGTGCAGTCGCGTACTTCGATCAGGTAGTCTTGGATTACTGGGCTACAAAGCCCCAGTAATTCGCGAGGACTGCATCTGCTACTCCAAGTTTTGAGCGTTATGAAGATGCGGAACTATCCTGAACTTCCACCAAATGTGGTTTCGCGAGCTTCGTGCTCATCTGCAAATTTGCTTATCTTGTTGGTTGATGCTTTATTTCACACGCTTTATTTAATCTGACTTACCA